GTGAAGAGGCAGGACCGTGTCCTTTACTCCTTACCTGAACTTTCTCTGTCTCTCAAACCCGGAATGCGGGTGAGTCTGGAAGGTGGGGGAAGAACACCCCCCAAACTTTAAATTACCCCAAAAGCAATGGAGAAAAAAGATCCCGACAGGCAGCCGCTCCTCCTGGCATTTAAGAAAAAATGGGAGAAAAACGCAGCTATTTTAAAACCCCGACGTTTCCCCCAAGAAGGTGACCGACAGGATGGCAAACGACGTCCTTGGGAATCGCCAAAAGGCGAAGGGGGTTCCGACGCGCGACCAGCAACACGGAGGGTGATGTGTCCTTTCGCTCTCCTCGCGTAGTACTATATCCCCATCACATGACTGCCAGGGAGGTTATCACAGTAAAAGCAGGGGAAGGCTTGAAGGAGGCTCGACCGAAACTGGCCGCCTCATTGGCCAAGGAAAAGTCAAGGGGCGGGCCAGAGGTTTTGTCGTCAATGGAAGCATCTGGCACGCTGGCGCTCTCTCGCTAGCCCGCTCGCCCCCCGCCCGGCAGCGCTGTCTCTCAGCCAGGACCGAAAAGGTTTCTGCCTCCTCGCGAGGTGGAATCTCCCAGGCTTCTAGGCAGAACTCCTTTTTCCCTTGACAGAAACCACGTGGCCGCATTCCTCCTCTGACAATCGTTGGTCGTTTGCCTGGTGTTTTCAGGGATGTCTGAACTCAATCCTTCCAGGAAGGGGCGCAAATGGCCAACGCGCTTCACTTTCAGGGAGACAAGACCCAGCTGCCATTTCTTGTTAACCACCTGGTTTCACTCCTGGGTTTCTCACGAAATCGGCTCCTCATGTACAATCCGGTCACGCCAGATTAATAACTCCTTCCCTCCGCTCTCCTCCCTACTCTCTCGGCCCTGGATAACATGTAATGCTGGGAAATCATACCGGAGGAGTCGAGTGTGAGGACTTATTGCCCTACTCAGCTATTTTGGGGGTTGTAGTACAGATCTCCTCTGTGCAGCCTCTGCAAGGCTGTAGTTGAGAAAATGCAAGACCAGTTCCCAAACGGAGCTTTCAAGCAGAAGAGGCAATGACTTCGATGAAAACATGTCAGTGTTTTCATGCCAAAATGGGGATTACTTTTGCTGGAAGCTGAACATTGGGGGAAGCAACACTACAAATGATACAGCGCTTGGAAAATAAAGTGTTAGCCAAACCATCTGTGCTGGTTCTCCCTTTTGGTCAAGATAGTTTGGAAGAATTGGTCCTCAGTCCACCTACATTTAACTGTTGTATGATGATCTCTGCAATCCTCTGTGGAGAAGTGAATCCCACATACAGAGTTGTCCTGAGCATTTGCTCACTGAGCATTCAAGTTTGAGGAGCCCTAAGAAGGGACTTATTTCTTCATAAATGGGTTTGTTAGAATTGTAGCTAAGGAGTTAGATCATAGTCTATCACTGCATATCTGTCAGTATTTTTTTTTTAATAATAGCCATTGTGGGAACATATCAGTTAAACCCACAGGGAAAGTAGCCTTCATGGGTGCTACTGTTGATGCACTGATGCATGCACAGTGCGGAGGCAGAGGTTTAACATCACAGCCCCATTTCTGACTCCTCCTCCTCTCCCCATACCCACCCACAGCATGCTGTGGTAAACAGTGTGACTGACATATCACAGGGCTAGGCAACCTGATGCTTCAGCAGCTTTGGACCACAACTGCCATAATCCTCATCATTGGTCATGCTGACTACAGTTGATAGAAATTGCCATCTAAAACACTAAGAGCAGTCTTTCCCAAGGTTGGGCACTCTTTCACTAGTATGGCCATTGTTCAGCATTTGGGGGTTTAGGTCCATGCATCTGAGGTCCCTAGACTGGGGAAGGCTGACCTAGAGGACAGCAGTTCATCTGTCCCTGACACAGAATCAGTTCATAAATCATGCTTGCCTAGGCTTATGATTAGCCACTTGCACCTGCCAATTCCTCCTTCTCTTTCTCTTGATCAGCATGGTTAGTTTGGGGCAGGAGTAGATTACCTGAGCTCCAAGGTTTACACAATTTTGTGGCCCCAGGGGTCCCCTCTCAACACAGTTTCTGAAAACTGAAACTTTCCCCCTATTTTCAGTTGGGAAACACAGAAAATGTAGTGTAAACCCTAAAATAGGTTTAATATAATGGAAGATTGAGAGGGAGAGAAGGAGGGAAGAGGGCAAACTCTCCTTTCCCTGAGACCAAGAAATATCTTAGCCTTGCCGCCTTTGTATAATTGCCCCACTCTGCATTGCCCTCAGCCCTCAAAAAATGTTCCCAAAAATTTTCTACATCACCTTTAGGATTTAGCATGAAATCTGGCTTCAGCTAACCAGAGGACAGAGCTATGAACAAATCTGCCTCAGTTATGCAATTAGTTGAGGCTGTAAATAACATGCGTCCTAAGTTCAAAACAGGTAAATCCTACACTAACCTATGACTGGAAATAATTATTCCACTTCAAGAGAAGATTGAGGGAGCAAATGATAGCACACTTCTCAAATATCTGAAAGGATGTCACACAGGAGGTCAAGTCTTGTTCCCATGTCCTCAGAATGCAGGGCATGGAATAAAGGATTTAAATACAAGAAGATTCCAACTGAATGTTAGAAAAACTTTGGCGGTGGAACCAAATACCCAGAGAGATGGTAACCCTTCTGCTAGGCTGCCATCTGTTGGGGATGCTTTGATCTCAAAAGCCAGCATATGTCCTCACTTAGCTGGGATGGCAGCTATGTTTGCTTAAATTTGGTCATATTTCTGCAATGAATATACACTATCAATTTTGCCATTGCTGCATATTCTCCAGTTTTGGTTCTCAATCTAATATCATTGGCAAAGTTCCTCTTTTCCAATGTTGTGCTAAATTTGTTCTTATAACTGTCAGCATACAGTATGTCTTAGTGAATTGTATTATTTTTCATTTATGTTTTCTGGAATTATACCTAATAAGAATATTTGTGGTTTCAATTCAAATTTTATTTTTAGGATGTTCTGATTATTTTGAAGTATTTCTTTCTAATACTTTTGAGGTGTTTTTTTTTTTGTCTCATATGATAAAATGTTCCTTCTTTGTTATGGCATTTCCAATATTTTTTATATGATTCAT